AGTACTGTCTCTGGGGTTTTCATGACAGTTAAAATAGATCATCCACATATAGCCCTTGGAATGATAATGCTTGTATGTTTTCGTTGCCATGTTGCTGGTGATGATGGTGGTAGTGTTAATAGGGATGGCGATGGTAATAGTGGTGATAATGAAATTGGTGATGATGGTTATGATGGACAGGGTGACAGTGGTGGTGATGAAGATGGTGATAATGATGACCCTGATGGTGGTGACAGTGATGACAATGAAAATGGTCATTGATGGTACTGGCAACGATGGTGGAAAAAATCACTGTGTAAGGACTGAGAGAGTCACTTTTGGTCTGCAATCTGATTGATGAATTGAAGTTCACTAGGGGAAGATGGAGGGGGAGAGGAAGAGGAAGATCATTCCCAGCACATACAGAATCCATGACCAGAAGGCACATGTGTAGGGAAGCTGTGGTGATAATGGAGAGGCATTTATACAACAGTTATTTATAAGGGCTTGAAAAATCCAGAGCCCTGGTCATGTGTAAGGGCCAGCAGGTTCAAGGAGCAGAAACATCCCTGAGTTCAACTCTAGACTGTAAGCTCCCATCTAGCTAGCTAGCTCCCTAGGAGCAGAGATCATCCTTACTTATCCTTGTCCCACACCATGGGCCAGCACAGTACCTGGTACATAATTGGTGAAAATGGTGATAGTGCTGGTGATGCTGAAGATGGTGATTATCGATAACAGTGATGATGATGAAGATGATGGCAATGATGACGATGGTGGTAGTGACAGTGACAATAATGAAAATGGTGATGATGGTAATGGCAATGATGGTTACGTGTGCAATGAATGCTCATTGCTAATGGACTGAGTGTTTGGGCCAGAAGGCTTGGTTCTATCTCTGTCCAGCCTCCCAACACGCCCACGTCACCAGCTCTGGGACCTGAACGGCTTTGGTTTTTGCATCTACTAAATAGGAAATGATCATTCTGCCAGCCTGCCTTGCAAAATTCTCAACAAGATGATTATATGTATATACTTACTAGAGTAGGAGTTTTAATCTGGGGTTCATGGGAAAAATTCAGGGGAGGTTCATCACTTTGGATGAGAAGAAAATGGTGTGTTTTTTTTTACTGAAATTTCAACTGAAGTCTACCTAAACGTAGGTGACAAATCACAGTAGTAATAGCAGGAACTCAGTCACCAATAGGAATCAGTTATTTTCCTGTTGTGTTATAGTTGGTGCAGATACCTCTAAATATCATTTATGCTCACCACTACTTCAAAATTACCGGAGTTATTAGACCTGCCATGATATCTTGTTATTTAATGTGTTAATAAAGAAACACATGTGTTATCACACATTCGGTGTTGTAAAATGTGTTTTGTAACCCAGGCCCCATCTAGTAGCTCACACCTATAATGCCAGTACTCTGAGAGGTCAAGGCGGGAGGATTGCGTGAGGCCAGGTGTTTCAGGCCAGCCTAAGCAACATCATGAGACCCTGTCTCTACAAAAAATGTAAGCAGCAGCCAGACATGGTGGTGCACGCTTGTAATCCCAATGCTTTGGGAGCTTGAGGCTGTAGGATTGCCTGAAGCCAGAAGTTCAAGACCCGTCTAGGCAACATAGTGAGACCTCCCCCCATCTCTACAGAAATAATTTTAAAAAACCAGACATGGTGATGCATACCTGTAGTCCTAGCTAGTCAGGAGCCTGAGGCAGAAGGAGGGTCACTTGAGCCCAGGAGTTTGAGGCTGTACTGAGCTAGGATCACACCACTGTTCTTCAGCCTAGGCAATGAAACACGACCCTGTCTCAAAAACTAGTTTTAAAATGTTGTAACCCTGTATATAATATGTGAGTCTAGAAGCACATGCATTGCTCTGTGTCAGAACTTTGGTGAGTTTTTATTTTTTGCTGTTTTGTAACCCTGTATATTTTGTTATGTGCATTTAAGAGCACTGTTCTGAGGTAAGTGTCCATAGGCTGCATTCAGCAGACTGCTAAGGCATCTATGGCATAAGAAGGTTATTGTTAAAGTTCTTTAGAGAAGGGGTAACTGTAGCAGATGATCATTGTCATCTGACTGTGCTAGGTAAGTCCTTACCCTGGGCTCTCTAAGCCTCAGTTCCCTCACATGGAAATTGGGGGTCAAATGGTACCTGCCTCGTAGGGATAAATGCAGTGATGTGCCTCACTGGTGGGGATCAAGTGATAAACTCCACAGAGAGCCCTGGCTCAGTACCTGCCACACACCAAGCACTGCTGTCATCGCCGATTGTGTTGTGTTGTTTGGACTCCAGCTGGAGTTCTCTCTTTCTGGACGCCTCTGAGCTAAGGGCGACTTTCTCTCTCCCAGGTTCATCCGGAAGCAGGGCCTGGATCGGCTCTTCCTGGAGTGCGACGCTCACATGTGGCGCCTGGGAGATCGGCGGATCCCAGAGGGCATCGCCGTGGATGGCGGCTCGGACTGGTTCCTGCTGAACCGGAAGTTTGTAGAGTATGTGACCTTCTCCACAGATGATTTGGTGACCAAGATGAAACAGTTCTACTCCTATACCCTGCTTCCTGCCGAGGTGAGTATCTGGGAAAAATTTCCCAAAAAAGCTAGAGGGGCTCACTCTAGCCTTTGTGGCAAAGCAGATGCTGAATTTTTGGCAGAGAGATTCTGGGTCCACCTGCATTGTCCTGCGTACATCCAGACATCCTTGCTGTCTTAGCAGGGCCCGATTTCCCTCCAGTCTGCACGGAGGCTGCGTGGAGTACACACATGCTGCTATCACCAGCAGTCCACACAGTGACTTCGTGCAAAATAGAAAAGGCAGCTCGTCCTCAAGATACTTGGCTTTCATTGGTCATAAAAATGAGACGATATACAGATTTTGTTAGAACAAAACACTCACTGCTATTTTCCAGAAAACTGTTATGTAGAAAACAAACCCTTCCCATATTTACAATGCTGATGGCACCCCCAAAAGTAACACGTTGCAGGCTGGGTGTTTTGGCTCACACCTGTAATCTCAGCACGTTGGGAGGCCAAGGCTGGTGAATCACAAGATCAGGAGTTTGAAACCAGCTTGGCCAATATGGTGAAACCCTGTGTCTCTTTTAAAAATACAAAAATTAGCCAGGCATGGTGGCAGTTGCCTGTAGTCCCAGCTACTCCAGAGGCTGAGGCAGGAGAATTGCTTGAACCCAGGAGGCAGAGGTTGCAATGAGCCGAGATGGTGCCACTGCACTCCAGCCTGGGCGAAAAAATGTTACGAAGTGTGTAACCTGCACAACTGTATATGCTGACCCTTTCAGGACATACCCACGTCACCTTTTTTTTTTTTTTTTTTTGAGGCAGAGTCTCTCACTCTGTCACCCAGGCTGGAGTACAGTGGCGCAATCTCAGCTCACTGCAATCTCCTTTTCCCAAGGTCAAGCAACTCTCCTGCCTCAGCCTGCCGAGCAGGTGAGATTACAGGCACACAGCTAACTGTTTTATTTTTAGTAGAGATGGGTTTTAGCTATGTTGGATAGGCTGGTGTTGAACTCCTGGTTTCAAATGATCCACCTGCCTCAGCCTCTCAAAGGGCTGGGGATTGCAGGCATGAGCCGCCGTGCCCAGCTCCCACATCAGCTTTTGACATAATCTTCACAGTGGTCATGTAATGACCATCTTTTTACACCAAGCATCCCTTTTCTCATGTTGAATATTGCTTTATCATTCCCCAAAGAAAAGAGTGGTGGTTTCATGAGTCATACTCCAGTAATCCAGAGGATTCTAAAACAGCCCCATCTAGAAGTGGGGAGGGGTTCCAGTTCTGAAGGATTGCCCGTGACATCCCCGTAGCTGCCTGCTGGGCAGAGCTGGCTCCATTTCTCTTGAGCTATGGCATTTCTCTAATATTAATGGCCCCTCGTTGCTTCCCTGGACCACACAGGTGAGGTGTCTTTCTGCAGGCCAGGCAACCCACCATATCTCTCACCCATGTCTGGGGCAGTGCCAAGCTCCAGGGAGGGCTGACTGCCCTTGTCACCCAGAGGGATGACGAGCTTGTCATCGCTGGGCTGGGTTTTACTATTCTGCACACATGTTAAGTAATCAGCTTTTAATCCTATTTCAGCAAAAATCACCTTTTCTCTCAATCCCGATAACCTCCTCATCCATTATCTTTCAGGGAATTTCTGTATCATTATGAAGGGACACAGGGCAATCAGTAATTGGGTACTTTTTCCCACTGCTTGATGGAGAATATATGCCTCCCTGGGCTTGTAGGCAATTCGAGCTTAAAATCCAAGTTCATGGGCATGTCCTTCAGCGTCACAGAAAGGTCAGCAGGGGGTGGTGGGTGGAGCCACATTTACCCATTCATTTAGAAGAGATTGTCTGGGAGTTTGGCTATTTTTAATCAAGACACCCACCGCAATGTGTGTGCTTCCTGTTCCCCTCCCTGGCCCCAGGATTCACGAGCACATATGCTCCAGGGTCTCTGTTCATTCCCACCTCCTGCATCTCTGCCTTCCCTCCCTTCTCCCAGACCACTTCAAGGGGAGTGGTTTAGAAGAAATTGGAAGGCTGTGCCCATAAACAGGGAGAGAGAACAGGGAGGAATTATTTTCTCCTGGTACCTGAGACTGTCATAAAACAGTGTTGAAATACTATAGACATATTTCTGTCAGTCTCTCAGGTACTCCAGTGATTGTCTCTCCTCTAGTTTTCCTTTTCAGATCCCTTGGAGAGGTTGGCCGAGTGTCCTGGAATTGGGGAGAAAATATGGCACCTGGTTCAGTACCATGGACAGCAAGCAGCCCCATGTTGCAGTCCCAGGATGCAGGAAGCCCTGGATCAAATGCAGCCATCAATCTGGCCGCTCTACCCCAGGGGCGAAATTCCAGAGCATTCACCTGCACTCTCAGTTGGACTACAGGGGCAGCTGACCTCAAATGCATGCAGAGTATAGAGAGTCCCTTAACACTCAGGTAGTTGTGTGAGTGCATTTTTGCAGCGCTGTGAAGGAATACCTGAAGCTTGGTAATTTTTAAAGAAAAGAGGTTTAATTGGATTCATGGTGCTGCAAGCTGTCCAGGAAGCTGCCCAGCTTCCTGGTGAGGTGCCACATTCTTTTAAACAAGCAGCTCCCATGTGAACTCAGAGCAAGCGTTCGCCATTGCCCATGCCAGTTCACTTGTGGGAGGCTGGGAGAGGTCTCAGACTGGGCTCCTCTTCCCTGCAGTCCTTCTTCCACACGGTCCTGGAGAACAGCCCCCACTGCGACACCATGGTGGACAACAACCTGCGCATCACCAACTGGAATCGCAAGCTGGGCTGCAAGTGCCAGTACAAGCACATCGTGGACTGGTGCGGCTGCTCCCCCAACGACTTCAAGCCACAGGACTTCCATCGCTTCCAGGTGAGACGTTTATAGTCTGCCGGCCTCCTCGATGATGCCTTTCCAACACACCTCTGCAGAAATCCGAGGCCAGACCTGCAGGTCATCTTATCCTGTGGTGCCCAAACCTGGCTGTGGATCATAATAGTAACAGCATCAGCAATAGCCAATGTTTCTTGAGCACTTACTCCAGGTCAGGGCCGTTCTAACCATGTTGCCTCATTAACCCAAAAAAGAACAACCTTTCATTAATACTGCTATTCTATTTTATGGACAGGAAAACTGAGGCACGGAAAGGTAAAATTTTCCAAAGGCCCTCCTCCTGTCATGTTCTCTTTACTGCCTTTTTCTTCAGAATCCCCTGAACTATTTGTTAAATATGTCCCCAGGAATATGTTTTTAAATATATCTAGGGCAGAGTTTTTCAACCTCAGAGCTCTTGACAGTGTGGCTGGATGATCCTCTGGTAGGGGGTGCTGTCCCATGCACGGTGGGATGTTTAGCAGCACCTCTGGTTGAGAACCACCGATCTCCAGTGATGTCCACAAATTTGTATTTTTAATGAATTGCACTTTGGGTCATTCTGAGGAGCATCCAGGTTTGGAAACCACTGTGTTCTGTGTACTTGAAAGATCAACAAGAGGTGGAGTGTTACTCCCTTTACAGCTGTCTCTAGCAATTTACAATTCTGGGGAAGGTTCACTTACCATGAGCCCTAAGATGGGCAACCTCACCTGCCCTGCTCCCTCCAAGCCACCATGGTGGCTAGGAGGAAAAGGGGGTCTGGGCTTCTTCCTCTACCGTTCACCACAGCCAGCAGCAGAGAACACAAGAACTGACTACAACTGCCATGTAGAGAAGGTATGTTCCTTTCCAAATCACTAACACAGGGACACAGTGCTGGGCCAGTAACCCAGCCAGGGGGTCCCTGGTGCGTGACTGGGATGCTGTTCATGTCTGGTCTCCTCTGTATCAGGCAGTGTGGACATTGGCCTCACTGGGGTTGATGTCACTTTTGTGCAGGTGAGGAAACTGAGACACCATGGGATTTTTTTTCCCCACCCCCCCCCCCAGCTGCCTTCCTGGTTCTGTGCCTAGAAGAGTACAGAATACACTGCAAGTTTTATCTGTCATTTGCATTGACCACAAGGTCCTTACCCAGCAACTCCAACGACCTTAAGCTGGCAGACAGGGAGCTGCTTAAACCCACATCTTCCATGCAGAAAGCATCTACTGAGCCAAAAGAGGATTGCAGGGGAATGTTTGTTTGACCTATTCAGAAGAAAAGGAAGTCCCACCTTAGTAGAGGACCCGTTCCTCACTGCCCTAGTCACAGAGAACCTTCATCACTTAACAGCACGGAACCTCCACGTGGTAATTCCCCAGAGCCCCACTCTTTCCTCGGCTGCAGTATTTGTATCCAACCCGGCATCCTGGGGACACTGTAGCCTCTGATAAAGACTGGCCCACATAGAAACTGCCTCATGTTCTCACAGCAACCAAAGATTAAGAATCTCACCCGAAATTTAGAGTCAAGACACTGCTGCTAAAGGGAACTCTTGTTCTTGTGCAAAGAACTGGGAGAACAAGAATGCCAAATATAGCCACATTCCCTTTTAGAAGATCCAGCTATGGTCAGAAGCACAGGCAGAGAAAGGACTTCATCCTGCCCCCAAGGCCAGTTCGCTACTCCTAGAAAAGGAACCTCACAGGTCCTTAGATAGATAGATGGGTTCCTGGTAACAAGGGGCTAGTGATGATAATTAAATAGCAGTCTACACTGTGTGCTAGACACTATGCTAGTAACCCATAGTAAGTATACTGAGGCCCAGAGATTGAATGGCTTGACTTACATAGCTTGAAAGTAGCAAAATGAGGATCTGAACTCAGGTGGTCTAACTCTCCTCCGTGCTACTGTAAAAGGAACCAAGCTACGCTCCCCACCACAGAGGGGTTTCCTGAAGCAGACTGGTGATGAGAGGTTGAGAATAACACCAAGGGTACTTACAGTCAGGGGGCTTCCAGGTTACTCAGTTGGCTCAATCCTGGAGTGATGCAGTAGCAAGGGCTTAGATTTTGGAGTCATCCATTCGGGGTTCACATCTTACGACGGTGTGAGTCTGCACATGTTACTTTGCCTCTCCGAGCTCAGTTTTCTCATCTGTAGAATGGGAATCATCATACTTGCCTTGCCAAGCTATGGGGAAAATTAGATAATGACACAGTTGCAATGCCCTGCATACGGTGTGTGGTCAGTAGTTATTGCTGCTGTTAATCTCCTGCCATGAAAACAGTGCTGGACCCAAATTTAGGTCAATAATAATACTAGACCATTATAAGCTCCTCGAGGGAGAGGCCTGTGTTTTATTAGTTTCTGCAGCCCTACACAAGGGGTCAGTAAACTCTAGCCCTGGGGTCCCAAGTCAGCCCACTGCCTGCTTCTGTAAATGAAGTTTTATTGGAACACAGCCATATCCATTGATTTAGTCTCTTGTCTGTGGTTGCTTTTATGTTATAAAGGCAGAGTTGAGTGGTTTCAAAGCTATTTTAAATATTTACTGTCTGGCCTTTCACTGAATATAAACTATAAAACCTGGTGGATTACAGGTACGTAGTATTTCTTTAACCCTCAACCCTGACTCTTCATTCTGTCTCTGCCAATGACTTGCTGTGTGTTCTCAGGTAAGTCCCTTACCATCTCTGGTCCTGTTTCCTTCAGAGTTTGGTTGATAGCAGTGGTCCTCAAACACTGCATCATAATCATCTGGGAATGTTTTTGTAGCCTCACTCCCAGAGATGTTGACTCAGAAGGTCCTTTTGCTTTAGACAAAGTCTCGCTCTATCACCTAGACTGGAATGCAGTAGCACAATCTCAGCTCGCTGCAACCTCCACCTCCTGGGTTCAAGAGATTCTCCTGCCTCAGCCTCCTGAGTAGCTGGGACTACAGGTCCATGCCCAGCCTGGAATCTGAATTTTTCAGAGTACCAGACATTCTGATTCCTTGTGAGTTTGTGAGTTGGCTGAAATATGAAAGAGGCAATAGGGCATGGTGGAGACTGCAGTGAGCAGAAGTTAGGTGCTGCCTAAAGAAACAACCAGTTGTTAGCACATGGAGTGTGGGCCTGGGGTTGCCAGATCAATTGCTGTTTAAGGAGAAGCCAAAAGAATTTCTGGAACTCTTTCATGTTTTCAATACTGCCAGCTCATTCGACTTTAAAACACTCCGCTGGCCAGCTAAAAGATGTCTGGAGGCTGTATTTGCCCTAGATCACTAGGCTGCGACCTCCAGCAAAATGATTTCCAAGATCCGTCTCAGCTATTACCATCTAAGATTTAACTTACATAGCGGACATCTAAATGATGCTTATTAGGTGCCTATCATTGCTTTAGATGCTATGCACAGATGAATTCATGTAATCCTCCTCACACCCTTATTATAACCTATGGGAATTCATTCAGGGTGGTGGCAAAAATATTAAGAGAAAATTTATCAGAGAAAACTGTATCTATCATATAGAAAAAACCCTTAGGCCTTCCAAAAGGGTTTCAGACTTTATTTTCACCCTGAGTGAATTCCCATGTCAACCCATTTTACAGATGTTGAAACTGAGAACATAGAGGTGCAAAAACTATGGGAGCTACTTTGGATCACATAAGATCTTTGGCTGTAACCACAAGATATGCCCTTAGGTTCCCCCCTACCCCCGCACCCCCATCACTTGCTGATGTGGCTTTTTTTTGTTTTTTAATTCCATGAGTGCAGCAGACAGCCCGGCCTACCTTCTTTGCCCGCAAGTTCGAAGCCGTGGTGAATCAGGAAATCATTGGGCAGCTGGACTATTACCTGTATGGGAACTACCCTGCAGGTACCCCTGGCCTCCGCTCCTACTGGGAGAACGTCTATGACGAGCCTGATGGCGTCCACAGCCTGAGTGATGTGATGCTCACCTTGTACCACTCCTTTGCCCGCCTGGGTCTTCGACGGGCCGAGACGTCACTGCACACAGATGGGGAGAACAGCTGCCGGTAAGCCCTATGGGATGCAGAGAGGGGAGCTGAGAAGCAGGAGGCAGCTCCGGGTACTAGTGGTTGGGGGTGGGGGGGCGGCTTCTTCCTCTTTAGGGATCTACAGTGCCACCCTATACTTTCTCTTCCTTTGCCCAAAATTCATCTAACGCCACCTTCCTAGCGTGCATGGCATTTCCAATCCAAGCCATCGCCACCCTTTTCGGTTCACTTTCTCAGATACCAGATCTCCTCTGCACCTGATGATTTTACTCCTTCTTCATGCTACATATATATACTTTAGAAGGAAGCTTCATGGCACCATATCATATGTAGCCATGAATATACAAAACTTTCTTTGATGGAAAACGTCAAATGTGTACAAAATAGAACAGTGTAACGCCACGTTCCCATCACCCGGCCCTGGCAGTTTCCAACTCAGGTCTGATCTCGTTTCATTTTCATCTTCACCCACCTTCCGCCTCCTCCCAGATCAGTTTGAAGTCAATCCCAGACATCCTATCATTTCAGCCATCAATATTTTAATAATGTATCTCTGAAAAATAACTCCTTTTTAAAAACATTCACCATCATGTCATCATGACACCTAAAAATATCACAAAGAAAATTAATAGGCAGAACTATTGTTTAAACTTCTCAGCCACCACTTACGATCGTCTCACCTGCCAATACGTCAGGAAAGAGTGTTCTAGAAGATGTGGAAAGAAGAGGGGAGGAGGTAGGAAAATAATTCAACGTCATCCCTCCTCCTCCCGTCTCTTTTCCTAAGCCAGCCAAGTCTTTCACGTTGTGTACCCGTTCTTTTGTTCCGAAGCAATATACATATTGGATATTTACATAATTGCAACAAGAATTTGGTATCCTGTTTTCTTCCCTCAGCATTATACTATTAGCCCTCATTTCTCCACACCGCTCTGTAGCTTCCGCAATGATAATGATTCTTTTTAGTGCCTCCAGTATTCCATTGAGCAGAAGTTTCAGAGTTTGCTTAATCCAGCCCTTCACTGCTACCACCGTCAGTAATGCGCCATTGTAAATAATGTTCTAATGAATATCTTTTTGCAGAAAACCCTTTTTTTCCATTCTCTTTTCTGATTATTTGCTTAGGATAGATTCCTAGAAGTGCCTCTCATCACTCTGCTTCTTTTTCTCCCTTCTCTGCTCCACAACATAGCAACCTTTTTCTTTCTTTCTTTTTTTTTTTTTAATAGCATCGGTCCCTGACAGAGGGGAAGAAGATTGTTCCCTAACTCTGCAAACATAGGCAGGTTTCCCACCTGGTAGCTGATCCCTAGCCAACAAGGTTTCTACAGGGCTATGACACTGTCTCATCACCTCCGCCCATCCATCAAGGTTCTGATTTAGTTTAAAGGGAGACTAGCCTGGGTTAGGAACCCAGGATCTGCAGTTTAAATGTTACTTACCAGCTAGGGACTCCGGGCAAGTCATTCATCTCTCTGAGCTTTGTTTTCCTCATCTATAAAATGAGAAGAGTAATACTCATCATCTTTACATCATAAGGTTTCATGGAGTTTCAAGAAGACAATCAATCATCAAAAACTACCTGATGGGTTATATCGTGTTATTCCCATTTTAACAGCGTTGTACATACTAATTGCTGAGTATTCAGAGAATTGCTGTATCTTAGTTGCCTGTTGCCATTATGATGCAGCCAACAGTGAACCTACTGTGTACGATGGTAACACCTCCTTGTTCTCTTCCTGTGGTTTTCTTTGCTCACAGCCTCCCACTGCATAGCTAACCCTTCCCAGATCAACAAAGCCCTCCAAAGGCAACCTCCTCTATGACTTATCCAAAGCTCACCCCACACCCACCGTCTCCCAAGCTGAAAGTAGTTCACAGCCTTCACCTCGGCCATGCACAGAGCGCAGCGTCTTGGGTCAAGGTCACTGGGGACTGTCTCTCCCTGCCGCGAAACCACTGTACACACCCCAGTACACAGTGCAGTGCCTGACACTTAAGAGGCAATAGTCGTTCCATAAAAATGACAATTGCAGGCTTCCTAGAATGTATAAGGTAAATGATCTTACGGGAAATTCCAAAAGACACCCCCAATTTATTTAAGGTTGTTGAAAGTTTCTCCTAGTACTGGTTTTGGAGTGAGGCAAGCCGTCGCATTGCCTGGAGCCAGGAATCCTCTAGCATCCACCTCGTTTTTTATTGTAATGGAACTGTTGTGCCTTGCTGTGGGCAAAGCCGATGTGTTTATGAATAGAAGCCTGAAAATAAATCAGGACCAAGGACCCTTATCCCAAAAGGCAGAAGAGAATGGATTTCTAGCCCTGAGGCATCTGGGGAAACAGCAAGTGAAAACTTTAACAGTCTCATTTTATCTGGGTAGTTTAGGCAAATTGTGCCTTTCCAGTCTATAAAATAACCTTTCATTAAATAATGTTTATTGATTTTGTTTTTCTCATTATAAAGTAAAAATGTGCATTGCAAAAATTCCTGAAATGGCAGATTGAGAGAATAAGAAAATAAAGTTTGCTTGTAATCCACCATCCAGAAATAAGGATGTCAGGATTTTATTTCAGGACCCCAAATTCACATGCCCTCCAGGGCCAGAAAAGCAGCACTAGAATCACTCAGCTTGGCGCCTACAAAATTGGCTGACCTTGGGAACCTGGAAGTCCATGGTGCTGAAGTCCAGTACATCCCGTGGGAATGTAGATTTGGAGTTGCTAACCAATTCTCCTGATTTTTTTTTCAATGCTCCTGTTTTATTTAAATAAGAAAGAAAAACACCTTTGGGCCAAACGAATACTTCTATGGCATTCCTATAGAGTATTGTACGGCATCTTACTTTTCTTTTTTGAGGCATTAACAGTTTTCATTACTTAGATACCAAATACAGTCAGGATGAGGCATCAGAGGGCTTTGTGTTCAGTCCCTGGTTACAGGGATTGCAGATGTACCTTAGAAGCATAAGGCTCCAGAGGAAATCCTTCTAGAATTTTCACCCATTCCATAAGAACTGACTGAGTAGCTACCATGTGTCAGGCTCTGTGTTAGACACTGAGAATTCAGCCTTGACCCAGGCAGACCAGGCCCCTAAACTCAAGGCGCTCCCATTCTAGTTTGAACACAGACAGTACCTAAGCACCAGTAAACCAGAACAAAAGATCAGTGAGGTTAACGCTCTGCAAAAAATGAAGATAAAGTCACATGAGAGTGACACGTTGGAGGCAGCAAGAATGTCCCGTGCAAAAGCCCTGAGGCAGCAATGAGCTTAGCTTGTTCAAGGAGCCAAAATAAAATCCCTGTGGCTAGAAGATGGTGGATTACAGTAGCGGGAAACAAAAGGAGGCTAGAGAAAGCAGCAGGGCGTTGTGGAGCAGGTAAGGAGTTTGGATTTTATTGCAGGCATTAAGCAAAGTACTTGTGGCATTTAAGTGGAGGATGATGGACATGGCCACTATGGGAACAGGTTTTAGTGGACAAAAGAAAGGGGGTGACAGGGAAGTTCCTGCAAAGGTCCGGATCCAAAATGATGGTGGCTTGGACCAGGATTCTGGCAGTGTGTAAGGGGAATAAAGATGGAAGGGGCCACGCGCAGCGGTTCACACCTGTAATCCCAGCTACGTGGGAGGCTGAGGCAGGGAGAATTGTTTGAACCTGGGAGGTGGAGGTTGCAGCAAGACGAGATTGTGTCACTGCACTCTAGCCTGGCTGACAGAGTGAGAGTCTGTCTCAAAAAAAGAAGAGAGGCAAGTAATCAAAGATTGGCTTCTAGGATTTTTGACTGCTGCCTTCTGGAAACAGTTTCTTCCTTTGCCTCTCATGACAAGTTATCCTGCTTCACCCACCTTACACAACACAAACTGATGGTGCATTACTTGTCTGTTGTCACAGTAATACTGTGTAACAGGGCCGGGTGCAGTGGCTCACATCTGTAATCCCAGCAGTTTGGGAGGCCGAAGCAAGTGGATCACTTCTGATGTTGGGAGTTCAAGACCCCAGTCTGACCAACGTGAAGAAACCCCATCTCTACTAAAAAAACAAAATTAGCCGGGCATGGTGGTGCATGCCTATAATCCCAACTACTTGGGAGGCTGAGGCAGGAGAATCGCTGGAACCCAGGAGGCAAAGGTTGCCGTGAGCTCAGATCACGCCATTACATTCCCACCTGGGCAACAAGAGCGAAACTCTGTCTCAAAAAGAAAAAAAAAAAAGATTAAATAAAAGCACTGTGTAACATACAACTCCCAAATCACACTTTTGAACTATAATGCTCAAGTTTGCAGGTCAGCTGGACAGTTTTCCCCATCTGGGCTGGTCTCGCTCCTATATCTGAGCCAACCACAAGTCTGCAGGGCAGCTCTGTGGCCCTTGGCTGGGAATAGTTGCCTGATTCTAGGATGGCTTCAGCTGGGACACGTCGAGTAGCTCTGCTGGTTGAAATGTCTCGTTCTCCAGCAAGCTAGCCCAGGCGTGCTCTCATGGTGACCTCAGAAGAGCAAGAAAGCAAACAGAAATGTGCAAGCCATCTTGAGGCCCTGACTCAGAACTGACGTGACAGCCCTTCTACTGCTTTCTGTTGTCCAAAGAAGATTCCAGAGGTAGAAAAATAGGTTCTACCTCACTGGTACAAGGAAACTTGCAAAGTCACATAGAAGAGAGCCTAACATACAGGAAATGTGAGATTTGGGGATATTAATGTAGGTGACCACTGGCTCTTTCATGACACTCTTTGCTGTCCAATACGGTAGCCAGTAGCCACAGTGGCTATTTAAGTGTAAATTAACTAAAACTCCAATTTAAAATTTAGTTCCTCAGTCACGTTGGCCACATTTCAAGGGCTCAGCAGTCATATGTTGCCAGTGTCTACTTTATTGGACAGCACAGAATACTGGTCAGGCGACAGGTACACCAAAATTTCACAGATCACCACTATAGAACGTATTCATGTCACCAAATACCACCTGTTCCCCAAAACCCTATGGAAATAAAAAGGTTTTGGCCAGGTGCTGTGGCTCATACCTGTA